GCGCTCAGTAATAAGGTTTCTGACTGCAAAAAACTGTAAACCGATAGAAATCTATCGGCAGCTTCGTGAAGTGTATGGGGACAACATTATCACTGAAGGTGGAGTGCGTCAGTGGGTCATAAGATTTCAAAAATGGCCGAACCAATGTTCACGACGAAGATCGAAGTGGGAGACCCAGCATAGTGACCGCCGAACTTCTCGAAAAAGTCGATGCTAAAGTCCGTGAAAATCGAAATTTCACAATAACGGAACTTTCTTTGAGTTTTCCACCTATTCCCAGCAATGAAGAAATGGCTGGCTATGCAGCGTTTTGATGACGACGCACAGCTGCAAGAAGAGGTAACGAAGTGGTTGAAGGCGCAGGCGGCCGAATTTTTCGACGAAGGAATTTCCAAGCTCGTACATCGCTACGATAAATGCCTTAATTTGTATGGTGACTATGCAGAAAAGTAGTATTTGAGTGTGGCTTTCATCTGTATATAATAAAATTTGTTTCCTATACTTTGTTTATTTTTTTATTGCAAAACGTAATCTACTTTCTGGATAGCCCTCGTAGTTAACGGAAAATATAAATGATTCACGATAATTTATCGCATTGTGGGTTAATAAATGATAATCAAGAGAGTGTATGGAAAATGTTTTTCGAACTAGAATCATTAGGAATTAAAGATGATCCTTATTGTTATGAGGAAGACAAAGCATTGGAAATATTTAATAAGACAGTTTGTTTTAAAGGAAACAAATTGTTTTATTTAGAGAAACCACTGCTTCAACGAAAACTAGAATAATCTTTGATGGCAGCTCACATGAGTTGGGGCAGTTATCGCTGAACGATTATCTATGGCCAAGGACAAATCTGAACCCTAACATGTTTCATTTGCTAATTAATTTCTGATTAATTAAAGTTGCAATTTCAGCGGATGTGGAAAAAGCATTTTTGAAGAAAAGGATCAATATGTAGTGCAGTTCCTATTTGTGGAAAACACACAATTAAATGATCTAAAAGTAATCACATACAGATTCAAGAGTGTGCATTTTGGAATTAAATCAAGTCCATTCTTGTTGGCTGCAACAATTAAAGAACACATACACAAATACCGAGATGAGCAGCCAGATGTATTTGAAATATTTAATTCTTGTTTTTATGTTGACTTTTTTACAGAACAAGACAGCATAGAGGATGCTCTAAGCTTATAGCATAAAGCTAAGCTAATTATGAGTGAAGCAAATATGAACTTGCATAAATGAGTATCTAATGATTCTGAGGTGATGAAAAGTTGGGAAGAAGAATGGTTCGAGATCCACCCACATAACGACAATGACTCAAACGAGACAATTAAGATGTTGGGAATGTTCTGGGATACTAATGACGACAGTCTGAATATAAACACAGACAGTTTTATCGAGTTTCTTAAAAATAAGAGTAATACGAAAGGATTCATCTTGAAAACTGCAAGGGAAGATTTTTGATCCCCTTGGGCTAATAACTCCATTTACTGTTAGACTGAAATTCTTGCTACAAGAACTTAGAAAATTGACATAGGATGATGAACTACCCACAGATATCTCTCAGGAGTGGGCAAACTGGTGTTGTGAATGCCACCATCTAAGTAAGATTGTAGTTCTAAGATTTGTTTTGAATCCCGAAGCTGATTCCATTGAGATCCACTGCTTCTCAGATGCCAGTCAGAGGGCATACGGTACTGTTGTCTACGTAAAACTGCATAAGCAAGAAGAAATTTCTGCAAGTTTTGTTGCATCAAAATGTCAAGAAGTGCCTGTGAAAAGAGTTATATTACTAGCAGCGCGCTTATGTTCTGATGTGAAAAAATTGCTTCATCAAAAGAAATCCTCAATAATATTTTACTGGACTGATACCAAAATAGTGCTGTGCTGGAATAAAGGTACCAGTACCTATGGAAATCTTTTACTGCCAACAGAGTTAACGAGATTAGCGAAGTAACACATCCACAGACTGGTTCTATTGTCCAACGAAAGAACACCCAGCAGATGTTCTGACATGTGGTATTCGAACTGACTTTTTTGTGAACTGTTCTAAATGGCGGTCATGCTGTAACTTTCTAACACATACAGAGATTCCTCATCAGGACTTACCAAGTGAACAAAACCTTTTGAATGATATTCCCAATTTGTCTGCTAATTATACTAAACTTATTCGTGTCGTAAGTTTCATTTTCAGGTTTACTCATAATCTTAAGAACCCCAAGGTTAGGAAGTATGGCGTTCTTACTTTAGAAGAGATAAAGGATGCTGAGGTGTATATTTTATTATATGCCCAAAAAAGTGAGTTGGGCAAGAAATAAAAAAATTAAAAAGAGGTACGTTTGCAAGCCACAAAAATAAATTAGTATAGCTGAATGTGTTTCTCGATAATATGAGACTAATTAGAGTGGGTGGACAATTGTCCTATTCGGACCTACCCGCTAATAGTACACAACCTATTGTTTTACCAAGTAAGCATCGTTTAACTACTATTATTTTAGAGCAATTTCCTTTGAAGTACTTTCATTCAGGATCACAATTTCTGTTACATCAGACAAAGGTTCTGGCCATTTCACGGCAGAAACAATTGTAGAAAGGTCATCTACATGTGTGACATGTTTTAAGAACAAACCCATCACAATTCAAGAAATAATGGCTGAGTTGCCCAAACAGCGTGTCACACCATCCTATCCATTTACCAATACTGGTGTTGATTTCTGGGGCCCATTTGCTATAAAGTTTAAGAATCAACGTAAGGGAGTTTTGAACAAAATCTATGTCGTAGTATATGTATGTATGAGCACAAAAGCCATACACCTAGACTTTGTGACAGACCAAACTAGCCAATCTCTTATTGCTAGCTTAAAACATTTTTCCTCTAGAAGAGGAAAATGCACTAGAATAACGAGTGATAATTCTAAAACCTTTATTGATACTAATGCAGAATTTAAAAAATTGGTTGAATGTCCAGATGAGAATTTAGCAAAATTTTATGCAACTGAAGAGAGAGAGAGGGGAAATTCATTCCTCTCAAGTCACCAAATTTTGGCAGAATTTGGGAAGCCAGGGTTAAATCATTTTAGAATCACTTGAAGAGAGTTGTTGGTATTCAGTGCTTAACTTTAGAAGAATTCTTAAATATTATAATAGAAATGGTAGGAGTATTAAACTCAAGACTGCTCACTCCAATTTCAGATGATTAAAACAATTTTGAAACTTTGACACCATGTAATATTTTGGTCGGTAGACATATCACAACAATTGCTGAGCCAGATTTATCCAACATAAATGAAAACAGACTTTCTAAATGGCAAGGAATTACTAAGTACACACACAAAATTTGGAAATTACGGAAACATGATTATCTGAATAATTTACAAAAACGTCAGAAGTGGAAATTTTTAAAAGAAGACGTTCAGTTGGGAACTCTTGTATTAATAAAAGATGAAATTTTGCTTTCAACAAAATGGTTAGTGGGAAGAATAGCTGAGATTTTTCACTGTAGGGATAAGAAAATGAGAGTAGTACCTGTAAGGTTGCCTAATCAAAATTTGTTAAAATGAAATGTTCGAGATATTTGTGTACTTCCAGCAGAATTATTATTTATCTCTATTATAAACACCTATTTGTTGCCAAAAAATATTTGTTGCGATGATTTGAATATATATTCTTCAGTATTATGATTTGTTACTGTTAAGTATTTTATTGTAGTGCCTTTACATTTACATTCTTTGTAATAATAGTTTTGAAATTTTTAATTTCAATGCCAGGAGTGTTTTGTATTAGCAGAAAATACCAGGGTCAGTCTGTCTCCTACAGAGAATGTTTACGAGTAGTGCATGTGCATTAGAAGTGGCACTGAATTGTCAGTGAGAAACTGTTTCTTTTTTATTTGTTTTTATATATTGTTTCAGATTTTTTATAGTTTTCGAATAGAACATGTAGCAATGGTTAGCTAATTCTTCCGATGATACAATTTTTGTGCATTCTGAATTGTGATTGAGATGTAACGCTGAATGCTGTTAAAGAGCCTAGTGCCAGAGTGTTGCTATGGTAAATAAATATAGTGAAATTTAACGAGTGTGTTATTTCTATAACATATGTGGTATTATTTGATTGTGGATTAAATGGTATTGATGACAAAAAATAAATTTAATTAACTTTCTGGGAGAGAGAGGGGGGAATGGGCACTTTAAATAGCACAATAAGTAAAAATTACAGGAATCAACTATATCTTTTTCAAACAAGTCACAGCTGGTAAACCACCATAAATTTTTCCTTCACGTTAAAATTGAAATTGTCTGATAACTCTAACAACACATTTTCAGAGTAAAGATATTTGTATTCTTCAATTTCAGTTTATTTCACACATTAAGAAAAAAATATAAAAAGTACATAATTTTTACAGTTTTTTAAAACAAAAATATTGTAATATTGCTACAGTGCATGCACACTGAACAGATACTGATACTTAGAAGAACAGCTATAATTTTTAACTTCCCAACATATCTCAGAATGAAAATAAATTTTTTTGGGGAAGGAGAGCAAACCAATCTTCAAAACACATTAGGAATAACGGACATAATTTAACCTGCATGAAAACTGAAAACTTTCGCAGAATTAAATGATTTGTGATAGTACTGAATGATTTTTATAAATTTTGAAAAGTACTTTCCATTAAACTCAAGATTACAAATGATAAATTAACGTGAAAAGGAAATTTTAAGTCTTTTTAAAAACAGATGTCTATGAATTAAGAAAAAAAAAAAAAAAAAAAAGAGAAAAAGTGCGTGCAAAAATATAAAATACCACCATATTTGTTCAGTTGTCAATTTGTGGCTTATTAAAAAAGATGAAAAGAAAATAGTATGACAGTAAAAATGTGGATAAAACTGAATAAGATATTCAGTTACTGTGAAAAACAATCATTAGACAGCCCCTTCAAAAATTATCACAAAGCTACTAAGTACACTAGAAAATTGTCAAAATCTACTTACTTTTAAAGGCTCAATGTCAGATTAAGAGCTTTTCACTCCTTTTTCTTAAGCAGAATCTGTTTTTCCATTTTTTGCAGTATCACCTTTTACAGATGTCTGATCCCCTTTACTGGCAGGAGTAAGCAGTCTTGCAAGTGTGTCCCAAATACCTCCGAAGAATAGGGCACAGAAGAGATTTTCAAAGGGAACGAATGGGTCATGAATTCCTAACAACATGGATGAGAGCTTGAAATAAATAAAGAATATAACAATGCCAAAATATACCAAAGAGTGAGGAGCTGACAGGATATCGGTTTTCTTGTCTAGAACAAATATGACTGAAGCAGCAATGGAAGCCTTTGTTGGGCTAAACAAAAAATTAAAACATGTTCATGATATTAATAAATAAAAGTATTAAAACTTTCATGTAGAAGACATTTTACTAGAAGCTTTATATTTTATAGAAATCAAATTATTGGCAAAATAAGTTAAAAATTTTATGAATTAATGTTTAAAAATACTTCTTAGTTGAAGTGGCAACCATGCTTAGATGCCAAGTTTGACAGATTAGATTTGGTCCAATTTATAACATACAAATTTCAAATTTCTGTAGCAAAGGTTATGTGGTAGCCACTTTCACAAGGAAGTACTTTTTAAAAACGTATAAAAACTTCAAACAGTTAGAGCATTCTTAAATTTTTTCATACTTCTACCATATAATGAGCATATAAAAAAAAAGACTTGATATTCGATACAGTTCTGAATATTCTGATAAAACAAGAAACAAATACTGTGTTTTTTGCAGAATGTTTAAAGCCCGAGGTAATTTATTGATAAATGTTCATTTATTTGAATATGACAAAGCACATAAGGACTATCTGCCTAAGGGAAGGGATGCTTTATGGAAGACTTTGTCAAGGAAACTGGCTGGTATTTATTTTACATGTGGCAAAAACCATGAAAACACACGTGTAATCAACCCATTCACCAGAATATGAATCTTGATCAAAGTAACAGTGGTCAACAGCCTATCAAGAGATCGATCACTGGGTGGGCTCATCAATAAATGGAAACTTTCATTTCTTTTTTATATTAATATCGCTGCCAAGGCATGATTCTAAAGATTTCATGCATTTATTACATGATGCATCTGAGAAAATTTCAAGAAGCTTACAATATCATGAGCAATTCCCATACGTTTTGAAACACTTTCATGCTATGTTTTCAAGAACTTCAGACACCTTGAAGTATAACTAACACTTGAAGTATACAGGCTTGAAAGTGGATCTCTCTCAAGCATAATTTTTTTTTCAATAAATATATTGGATTTTTTTGGAGTGCAGATTTAAAGTAATTTGGAAATAAAAAGAGAGAGAAGTTGGTGCACTAGTCCTCAAGGGGTTAACTAAAATTCCTTGGACTCCGTAAAGTATAATTTTAGCCTAGCTCAATAGCAACCACTATAGATTGCTGGCTATGTATCATGAGATTGGCAACAAAAGACAAGTTGTTTCGCTAAATTTTGTATTCCTTCTATCATGCACTGAGACATTAAGCTTGAACTGCTTTAGTTATTTATTACACTTGTCTTCTATGTTTAAGGCTTATCCGAGTCCTCAATAAATAAATTCCCATGTATAATTAAAGCTTATCGAGGGCCAGCGCTAAATATCTTAACAGATTCAGTCTCTACCGGTCCTAAATTCTGCTACCAAATGCATTCCTAAGTTCTAAATTTTTGCTGCCCCTAAATTTTGGGCCCAGTGCTTTCCTTAATTTCTAAAAATTTGTCATCCCTTAATATTTTTGCTTGGTGCTTCTCTAAATTTCAAAAATTTTGCCTTTTCTAAATTCTCTTCCCGTTGTGGGCACAGGATCTTTGGCACCAGTTCTGGTTTTATATGAATAACAAATAAGTTATTCTTAATTCAAATAGCAGTATATGTAATCTTTTGGCCTATTAATATCGGTTACAAAATCTATTTTTAGCATATGGAAAGAAATTTGATTAAATTTTTCCTTGTCAGCATTTCTTAGTGCATTTTAACTTAAATCTGTAATCATTACCAAGTGTAATGTCAATATAAAAGGTTACCATATGCTTTGTTATTCAATTACTAATATAAAAAAAATATTTACGCATTGCTGCATAAGTCATTACTCAAGCTGTCATGTGTTAATAAACATGTAGTAAAAGCAAAATATAAAAATGATTCGCCAGGTTGGCGTCAGGGATATAAAATATTAAGTGTAACATCAACGATATTTCTATGTAGAATGTTTCAGTTTTAGATGTATGGCCAAGCAGATATTCAGCTACGAGGCCAAATTATTGATCATACAAATTTATGCTGGCAACGTGAAATTAAGAACAGGGACTCTTCACATTTTTTATTATTGGGGGGAATCAAATGTGCAAAGCATAAAAAAGGGGGGTTGGTAGCCTTAAGATTTTAAACCATTCTGGATATTGAACATTCAGATCTCGGACTTTCTACTGCATTATAACAAAAGAATTTTAAATTTCATATACTAATTTTCTCACTGTGCCATCTCCTCGAAGCTCTACTGCTCTAAGAAGATGGGGCAAAAAAAACCACAATACAAAACATTAGAACATTTAAAGTCTAAAACTATAATACAAAATATTTAACACTCATAAAACTGCAACAGATATTTAACAGTGGTAAAATTTAAAAAGCTTACGAGGTAAAAATCCTGTGAAAAAGCTGTGTATAGATTTTGGCGGAATTTTAGAAAATAAATAAACCCGCTTAGAAATATCACTTCCCTGAAAATTAATGCTTTCAATTAAACGGGATCAGCTCTCATATAATCCTTCAAATAAACTGTTGAGATTTACTACATCATCAAGACTGAGTATTGCTTTAGAAAGGATATTTGATTCAGATGGTCAATACATTTGATTTGGAAGTTCCAAATTATTATTTTCATAGCTGTTTTGTTTTTTCAGTATTTCATTCTCAATACACAGAATTTTAGTTGTATAAATTTAAGGTTGGTTACCTCAGCATACATTGGCAATTTTCCACTTCAAATAAAATTGTTATATTTTGTTCATTAAATTCCAGAATGCTAATTTAGAAATTCTTTTGAGCGTCTGCAAAAATGTATGTAATTTGTTTGAAACTAGCGTCAGTTTAAACTATGCTTTTATCCTGCATTGTCATCATTTTTATATGTTATTACCCTACACAATGAAAAGATTATTGTGTAGAAAATATTAAATGAAATAATTACAATTTTGACAAAAATCATAGTTGCTCCCTAGATAACTTAAAATATTGACAAATTTACTTTATAATTTGGTTTGAGAATGCTGATGCAATGATTTAGAAACTCCTTCACCAAATTGTAAAAACACTGGCCCTGCCTCAAGTTTACCTTTTATAGAAACCATTACTTTAAATGATTCTAATATGCTTCAAAAATTCCCCCCCCCTAAAAGTAAGCAGCCATACCAAAGTGTAGTGCAGTGAAACATTGCTAAAAAGTGTATCAATGTAATTTCTAACACGATCACTTTCATCACAGGAAATCTCAGAAAAACATTTTGGGCAATCATCAAGTTTTCAAATAATAGCAGATAATTTTCTGTTAGTCTAATTGTGGCTGTAGTTTACAGGCATCTTGTTGGCTCATACCATAAAATTTCAAATCATTCCAAATCTAAAAATAAATAAATAAATGAAGTAAAAATGGCGAAGTTGCTGTCTTCCTTTTACAGATGTTGAAAAATGGTTACATCTTTAATACTCTAATTCCAACATTAATATCTAAATTTTCCAAACCAAATTTCACAGCAATATGTGATCTGAATATTTTATTATTTTTGCATTTAAACAATCCGGGACTTAGAATCGATGAAACATTCCGGATCAACATGTAGCTGCACTTTTGTTAGTTTCAATTCCCAAATTACACAATAATCTTATAACTGCTTTCTAAGTCAGACAGGAAACTCTTATAATTGCAGATCTTGTAAAAATGAAACTCTGTGACGAATACAACAGAAGACTAGCAGATCAAGACTAGACAGAACAAGCAGATCTAAGTTCTAATTTTTTAATGGTGCTTAAATCTGCAATAAATGCAAGGGAAATTTTGTATCTTTTGCAAATGCAGTGGTCATACTTGTGAGCTTAACAATTCTCGTCCTGACAAACTCAAAATCAGAAACTCGCATGACCTAATACGCCGGAAAATCAAAACGACATTGATTAAGCGTTAAGACTTTTGATCAAGGAAGCTGTGAATGGAGTGGCAGGTCTGAATTGGTGACAGTCAAAAGTACTGTCTGTGAAAAGGGTTTCATAATTACTCCATGGTATTGCTCAAAACAAAATATAAATGGAAAAAGAATTTACATGGCGATTCTCGCGTCAGTAGTCCTTGATTTAGAGGACAAATGTGGATTACAGAAAATTAGACTGACTAATGGTTGTAACATTCCTGATTTAAAGATCAATTTAATTTCTAGTAAGCAAACTGCTAGTAAAGGATATTCTGTTAATTTTCAAAAAGAAAACGTTTTCATCAAAAAAGAATAACCAAATAATTATGTGTGCGTATTGCAATGATAACAGTTTATATAAAATTGTTCCAAACAAAAATGCAGAAAATGCTAATATTGCAGTAGAATGTAAAAATAAAAACTATAAACAAATGTGGCATTCAAGATTAGACCATCAAAGTTATGACACAAACAGGGAAGAACAGAAAATATCGTTGAAGGAATAAAATTAGAAAATTACACTCATTAATGATAGCTGTGCAGAATGCATAAAGGATAAAATACAGGAAATTCCTTATCCAAAAGAGCTGGTAATATTCGAGCAAGCAAATATTTAAGGTGACATTTGTGGACATATATCCACCAAGTATTAGGGAAAGACTTTGTTTTATAATCTTTAATGATAATTTTACTAGATATACCCTGATCTATTTGCTTGCTAAAAGGAATGAAGTTCTTAGTAAATTAAGACTGTTGGTATAACAAGAAATAAATATGGAAGAACTATACAGACTCTAGAAACTGAAAACAACACCGAATATGCTAGCAAAGAAATGAAAGAATTTCTATCTAGTAACAGCATCAAACATCAACTTACTGTTTCCTTTTAACCTCTTCAGAGCAGTGTGAATGAAGTAAAAAAAAGGAGCCTTACTGATATGACCACGTGCCTGCTTTCCCAAGGCCGACTTTCAAACCAATTCTAAGGTGAAGCTCACAACACAGCAAATTACATCCAGAAGCATTTTCCAAGTACAGCTAATAAGACCCCCTATGAATTATGAAGTCCAATAAGACTACCTATGAATTATGAAGTGGAAGAAAACCTAATCTAGCTCATATAAAACAGTTTGACTGCACAGCCTGTGCAAAATGAGGGGAAAAAAAATAGACCAGAAAGCAACTGAAGGAACTTTTGTCAGTTATGATCAAGGATCAAAGGGGTACAGAATCTATGCAGTGAAAACACAATTGTCAGCAGAAGTGTAAAATTTGTTGAAGAATCATCAGAGAATGAAAAAAAAAAAAAAAAAAAAAAAAAAAAAAAATCGAAATTTCCTTTCATCCAAAAGATTGAAGACGAAGAAATTGGGGAAAAAAAAAACCCTAAAATTATATCTGAAAGAGCCAAGGCAATCAGAAAGGTAAGCAAAGAAGAAACCAACAGAGTGCCTAGGATTCTTAACGATCACAACTAAAAACATACCTGAGAATTTTAAAAACTAAGTTAAATTTCGAAGAAAAGGAAAAATGGTTTCTCGCAATTCACAGAAAAATCAGCTCCTTATCCTGAAATAAAACTAGGGAACTAGTTGAGCTTCCTGTACAAAAGAAATCTGTTGGATGTTGATGATTTTCAAGATGAAAGTAAACGAAGACAGAACAGTCATTCATTACAAGGTGCGAATAGTCACAACAGGTTATAGTCAGAAATTTGAAACTGACTACGATCACACCTTTGCAACAGTAGTTTGATATACAACTATCAGAACCTTTCTTGCTATAGCAGCATACGATAAAATGCACATGAGGCATACCCATGGAACAGACAGAATGTACAATCCAATCAGGACAAGAAAAGGTTTGCAAATTGAGAAAAATCTCTTTATGGCTCAAAGCAGGCCACAAGACCATGGAATAAAAGGGTCAAAGAAGTGTTCTTTCAGCAACTTTTCAAAAAGTTAAGCAGACCCATGCTTGTTTTCAAAGAATGATGGGAATGAGACAATGATTACTGCCTACGCCCATGATATCCTTACAGCACACAAAAGCAAAGATCGAAAAAGTATTTAAATATCTCAATAAATCCTTTGAAGCAAAAGACTTAGGAGAAATCAGAAACTACTTAGGAATCAACATCAAGAGATGACAAGTTCCTACCGAGTCAAATAACAAAGACAGAAAAGCTGAAGATTTTTTTGGTCCAGATGGAAAAGGATGCCTCTTCACCAGTGGACAATACTAAGTACAGGCAAACTACTGGAGTCTTACTATACATGGCCACTGTAATCAGACTGGACATTAACATAGCAGTGAACCTATTAAGGAGAGAAAATGAATCTCCAAATGAGGACAGGAAAGCAGTTTTAAATGTCATCTAATACCTGATTCTACAAAGGACATTTAACTATAAACTAAGTCTGATAGTCCCCCAACACTTTCCTGTTATATGGATAACTCTAGCAACAGCAAAGCATGTGCTGACCATGGACCAAAATGATAGCTTATGATCCTTTTTAATTTTTTTCTTAATTTATTACTACTCTCTCTTGTGTGCTTATATATCTTTCATGTATCTGTCACTTCTTATCATTTTAGTCAAAACTGAGTAAATGTGCTTTGTGTATAAATATGCATTCCTACTGACAGATACATGACGAAACATCCCTCACTATAAGATTTTATTTCGGAGATTTAACCTGTACTGTTGGACCCATGAACAAAAGGAAAGCAAAGTTTATTATCTTCAGGATGAACTGCAACATCAGCTGGAAGTCAGGCCTACCTACACATCAATGATGGAAGTGACTGCTGCTCTTCTCCAAGAGCAACATTACAGAAATTAATGAAGAGTCTTCCTGAAAAACTGCCAGCTGACATCATTGCAAAAGGCAGAAATATGGCACATTAATTTCTCCTATGTTTATGCGAGAACTGACACATCAAGGTTTCTTAAATTTCTGATCACACCTTTTTAAAAATATGATTTTATTAAAACATATTTTATCAAAATTAAAATACTTTAAATTAGGACCCTCCCATGAATTTGAGCAATATTATATGATTAATTAATTTTCATTTGGAGGAAAACACTTCACAATTAGTTTTCCTGGATATTTCAGCAAGATGATAATCTCCTGCACAAAATTTATATGCAAATGAGCAAAAATAACTGACTTATGAAGTTACAGCAAATGTCATAAATAAATAAATTAATTAATTAAAAATAGCAATATCTTAACAATCTTTATTAACATTCACAGCATAATGCAATGATAGTAATGAGATTTATGATTCCATTCTTCTTAGCATAGCATAATATCCCAGTGAAGTACTTTAGATTTTTTTTTTTGAAAACTTCTTTAAGTATTACAACCTAAAATAGAATATAGAAAAGTGACAAGAAAATTAAGACTTAAAATACGCACAAACTCATCTGCATGAGTTCTACAGCATTCGGAGTCCATACACCCCTAAGCAATCGTTCTAAGACTTTTAAAAATGCAGTTCCATTTCCTATAAAAAAAATTAAGAGAAAATATTAGAATTAGTGAATTATTTTATTCTCTCATTATCATACAGTAAAATCTCTCAGAAATAATTTTTGTCTTCTATGAAAGTAGTTAATTTACACATAATAAATGGTGGTGATGCTCAAAAAGATCATTTAATTGTATTCCCAGAAAGATTAGGTTATTTTGAGAAGCTCTTGTCTTAGGAGCTATCACTGTGAAAAGCCTTAATGTATACAGTCAAAAGTCGTTAATCCGGACTCTTCGGGACTTCGGCGATTCCGGATTATAGATCATCAGTTTAAATCTGGTAAGATGGCATGCAGAAATTCTAAAATTAAAATTATGAAACCGTAATTTATGAAATAAAGAACAATTATGATTTAAAGGGTATCAAAATTTACACACGCACACACACACACACACAAAAAACAAAACAAAACAAAAAAAAAAAAACGCTTAATATTTATTTTTTTACTTTATTAAACATTTCTTTCAATGTAAGTTGCTTCGTTTTATGCGATAATACTTTCTCTTTAATTCTATAAACAGACATAATTTCTTGTTTAGTTACAAAGTTCCGCTGTTCAAGTCCCGTTAATTGCTGTGCCGAGAATACCGACTAACTTGTCAATCGAAATTTTTTTTTTCGTTTTCACTAACTCTACCTCTCTGTCACATTCTTCATGTCTTTATCCATTTTTTTTGCAGCAATTCCACTTTTTGTTTGATGAACATCGAAACATACTTTCGTTTTGTACGATCCTTTGGGAGCTCCAGAATCAGAAATTCTATTTGACATAATCGAAACTTCAAGTTTACTTTTATAGTATTGCTCTTACAGTCTGCAAAAAAAAAAAAAAAAAAAAAAAAAAAAAAAAAAAGTCGGATCCAATTCGAAAATTAAAGAACAACGCAATCATCAACATTAACTGAAATCGATAATTCGATAATTTTAGCTTATACCGTTCGTTATACATAAAATGCGCACGCGAAAACGTATTCTTCGCTTGCGCACACTCATATGCGCAGTCGTAAAAAGTCTTACGCGCACGCGTAAATGCCTATGCGCACGTTTCAATGCGGCGCATGTGCAGAAAGTTTTTAGCTTTGAGCTCCGGATTATAGATCATTCCGAATTATGGGTGTCCGAATTAACGACTTTTGACTGTATTATTTTAGATATCATGAAACATATATTTAAAATTTGATAATTTTATGGCTTTACGCTAGAGAAATTTTAACAGAACTTAATGCACTTTATCACAGGTTAGCTTGAAAGTTTTCAAAAAATAAAAGACTGCATATATATTAAAAAAATTACACAATCTTAAATTTTAATTTACATTTGCTTTTTCAGCAAAGAGGATAAAAAGAAAGCACAATACTAATACAGAAATTGTATTCTTTTACTTTACCTTGTACATCAAAGAACCATTAGATTATGACCACCCTCCATCTATAACAATGGGTTCGCCCAGGAACAAACCACTGCTCGTGCGCGGCCGATGATGGAGTACATAAAGCGGCTATGCATTGTCTTTCCAAACATAGCACGATGAGCATCACAATGGGAAAAGCAGCTGATTTATCAGACTTCAATAAAGGTCAAATCATAATAGCTTGGCGAATGGGAACATCAATATCAGAAATGGTGCATTTAGTGGGCTGTTCACGTGCAGTTGTTGTGAGCACATATTGAAGTGGTATATGAATTTTGAAAGGACAGGCTGGCCTCGCCGTATAGGCTTATGCAGCCACAGGTCGAAGCATGTGTCTGCACTGACGGCACGTCATTGCCAGCTGTGTCTGCAATGGGCCAAGAAACATCGGAATCAGACATTAGAAGAATGGAAGAAAGTTGCACGGTCTGACAAATCCTGTTTTCTGGTCCATCACATCAATGGGCATAGTTGGACGGAGACAAATCACTGACGGGAGTATTACGGTGTGGGCAATGTTTTCATGGAGTGCATTAGTACCCATAATTCCCACAGAACAATCCCTGACACCTGCACTACGTGAACATCGTTGCAGACCAGGTTCACCCATTCATGACAACAGTATTTTCGGCAGGAGATGGTGTTTACCAACAGGATAATGCACCATGTCATAAAGGTCGAATCGTCAGAGAGTGGTCAAAGGTACATTTCAGTTACTTTCAAGTCATGTCTTGGCCTCCAAATTCACCCGACATTAATCCAATACAGCATTTGTGATCCCACTTGGAAAACCAAATTCATACTGTCACATTACCCTCTCCCACCCAACGTACGGGAACTGCAGGACCAGTTAGTGAGTGTTTTATACCAGATACCTCAGACTACCTGTCAGAACCTCCTGGAGTTAATGCTAAACCAGATGATGGCAGTTTTGAGGGCTAAAGGTGGTCCTACATGTTATTAACAGGGTGGTCATAATGTAATGACCCTTCAGTGTATATAGTTAATTTAATGTGTGTGTAAAATATCGGAAATAGAAACATTTACCTTTCATAGTACCGATTATGATCATAATCAAATACCCATTGGGATAAATTTTTGCTGCATGAACTACGCCATCATGTACCTTTTTACAGCGAATCACTTCCTTCATCATAGCAAGCATTATCTTCACTGGCAAAAATTTAAACACCTTGTACCCGAAATCAAATGGGGTATAGAAAATGACATACCTAAAAAATTTAATTTCTTAAGCCAATTTTTGACACACTACCTTATGAAAACTTATTGCATCAATTAATATAAAATAAACAAATAAAATTGTTCAACAAACATCAATTACCTGACAAATTTGTTTACTAGGTTTTCCATCAGAATTGAAAATCATTCATTTTTTTTTTTTTAATCTTTGTTTTCAAATAATGCTTAGCAGATTTATAAAAAAAAGTGAGATAAATCTTAAATTTTCTCAGATAAAAAAATCTAAAATCCTTCAAAGAAAGAATAAAATATTTAATAAAATATTTTTAATTAAAAGGTTTTTAAATAAAGCAAAATTTCAAATCTATATTTAATTAAAAATATTAAGAATGTATTTTTGAAAAGACACTGACATTTATTAAGAAGAAAGATACAAAGGAAATTTAGTAAATGAAATACAAATTTAAACTCTTGAATTTTGATGTTAATTTTCTGAACACAATTTGAGAAAAAGTATTTGAGTAACAATTCAAAATTGAATAATCGCAGCTAAGGAATTCAACTGGTAACCACCGAAATCCTGCACTACATAGCCCTTGTAAACCAAGGCATGATGCATCAGAAATTTCTATGACTTACTAGAAGTATGTTCCCTGTATTATGATGATTCAAGAGTTGTTTTGAGAATTTTTACAAAAAGTGCAATGTACTCATTACTTGAAAATTTTCATTTATTTCATTAGATGCAGTGTGGTATTCCAGGCTACTTTCAGGTGATATTCATGATATCTGTCCAAATTGCAACAATCACATTCTTTTTAACCCTCGGTCGGGTACATCTGGCCTGACAGGCACAGCTCGTATACTTTCGATTCTGCCTCCAATCATTGGAGGGGTAGATATTTGGCGCTTTAGTAGTTTTTTATCTATACAGATGTTTGGAATCCACCTACTCAGTTGATTCAGAACTTTCCAAGAGAACAGTTATTGACAATCTGATCTGAGAGACACATTGCGCCCGAATTCGTCACACATATTGAGGTTAGTAATATGCATATTTTTATAATCATAAGTGTTTATTATTTTTTATTATTGTATAATGTAAAATTTTTCGTTATTTTTCGAAATATAAGGATTTTTTTTTTTTAATTGGCCTCTCAGGTACATTGTGCCCGAACATGTTCTTGGATAGTGTTTTCTCTTATATGTTCCAAGTTTTCTGCTAAAATGGCTCAAAAATTCTTTGACCTGTCAAAACCAGAGGATCTTGAAGAAGTAAGGCGTTTATTGGGAGAAGAGGATGACGATCCTCTAGTGAACGAGGATTTAGGGGAAGATAGTGATATTGATTCACAATGAGGTGGAGGAATGGAAAGGAGATTCAGAAACTGAACAAGAGGGTGAGGAGACCAAAGATGAACACAATACAGGCCCAAGTTCCAATTGGAAAGATGAATGGTAGGAAAAGATGAAGTAACAAAGTGGACTAAAAATCCGCATGCAAGAAATTTTTGTAAGGGAGCTCATCATATTTTAAGGCATCTTCCAGGAGTCATAGGAAACACGAAGACCTCTAAAACAGCAGTCAATTGTTGGGATAATCTATTCACTGATGATGTACTAGAACCATAGTTAGACACACAAACCAGTACATGGAATCTACAAAGCACAAATTTTCCAGAGAGAGGGATATTGTACTCACGGATATTATTGAACTATGGGCATTCATTGGCTTATTGTACACAGCAGGAGCTCTTAGAAGCAATCACCAAAGTTTAAAGGAACTTTGGGCAAAAGATGGTGATGGCATCGAAAAATTTGGACTTCTGATGAGCCTCAAACGGTTCAAGACTTTGATATGTTGCATTCGTTTTGATGACCTTATGACTAGAGCAGAGAGGGAAAAAAATCGATCACCTTGCTTCAATTCGTGATAGCTTTGAAAGATTCGTTGAAAACTGCCAAATAGCGTTGGAGAGAGTGTCACAATCGATGGAATGCTTCCAGGTTTCCGAGGAAGGTGTAGATTTCGCCAGTACATACCATCGAAACCGAACAAGTATGGCATAAAATGTTTTGCCCTTGTTGATGCAAGGATGTCTTATACACTGAATATGGAAATTTATTCTGGAAAATAGGCTGAAGGTCCCTTCTGTATTAGCAATAAGCCAAGAGAAGTGGTGAAAAGAATGGCTACACCAATTTTCACATCTGGACGTAATATTACGGCTGATAACTAGTTTACTGGCATCGATTTGATTGATGATTTGCAAGAGAAGGTATTCTACGTCGGAACTGTGAGAAAAAATAAAACACAGCTGCCCAAAGAATTTCTTTCAGTTAAGGGGAAAAAAAACCTTTTACCAGCATGTTTGGTTTTAATGATGGAAAAACTTTGGTGTCCTACATTCCTAAACTGAACAAAAACGTTTTAGTGATATCTTCACTTCATGACGACAAAGCCATCAATCCAGAATCTGGAGAAAAGAAGAAGCCACAAATAATAACTTTTTCCAATTCCACAAAAATTGGTGTTGATAATGCAGACCAAATGTGCATTACATACAATGTGAGTCGTAATGTCAAGCGCTGGCCAATAGTCATACTCTTCACCATGATGAATGTCACAGGCATAAATTCCCAGATAATTTATCTAGGGAATGAACTAGAACCATGCTGCAGAAGATGTTTTTTGAAAATGCTGGCCCACCAAATAATGCTTGGGGAGCTGAACCGTCGAAGCGTCAAAACAGTTGGAATTCCTAGCAGCCTTCAAGTTTGCCTCCTAAAGTACCGTCCCACAGAAGATGCAATAGAAAAGCCAACTCCCCCCCCCCGCAAAAGACACAGATGCTCAACCTGTACCTCAGAAAGGGGTTTTAGAAGAATGACTAATTATGCATACACAAAATGTCACAACGTCATCTGATTGTCCCACGCAAATATGATCTGCGAAACGTGTTGTGCTGCGTGCCAATGCCCCTCTTCTGCTGAGCTTCAACTAAATGAAACTGACTCTGAGTGAACATAACCTTCTGAAATTTGCCCTTCAATGTAACAATTCTTTTTTAATTCGATTCATTTATTTATGTTATTTTTTAAAGCACAAAGTAACACACTTTAGTTTATTAGTCAATTTAATTTTTGAATTCTTTTAATATTTTCTGCACAATAAATAATTTCTTTTGGTAACGAATTTTACTATTAATTTTTATTATTTAGTTAATTTACTGTCCAAAATATTCGTATGAGGTCAGTGATTACTTTTTATTACTAAAAATTAAATCAATGGGTGTAAATTTGGGGTTATTTAACTGGCGCCTCTCAGGCGCATTGTGCCCGAACTTGATCGTTCCTAAATTGCGCCTGGCGGAGGATTAAATCAACACTTTTAATGGGCCAATAAACTAATCTTTCTAAAGTTTACAGTTCAAATGTTTAATGCCTTTTCAAAATTACAGTTCACAAGGTTTAAATAACACTCACACAGAAAAATCAAAATTCAAATTTTTGAATCTAACTTCTTTCATGATTCAAGGAATCTGAGCATCTGAATGTCCTAGCACTATTTATAACTCATAAAAACATTTTATTACAAGGAATACATAGCGAAAGCATTAAGGCACATCCACACGACTATACTAGCAATGTAAATCACACAACGAAATGCATGTTGGCAGCAAAAAGTCATCCAAACAGAGCCTGCATTTAGCCAATAGAATTACTGGAGAGAAGAAAAATCACATGACACTCATAGAAGGCTGCAAGTGTAAAGTTTTTCCTCTGCTGTTTCGTAGTCTGGTCAGAAGAATGTCACACTTCGTTCATTTTATTGTGAAATTTTGTTTATTAAGCAATTTAACAACTCAGAATAGTAGGATTAAACAGTTATTATACGCACAAATCAGTTTTTATGCAAATTACAATTTATAAAATTGTTTTGGAATACAGTATACAAGGTGGCGCATAAATTTTGCGACAAACTTCTAGGAGAGGTAGGACACATCATAAGGATTAAAAATTGCATAGGAACCCATACTCGGAAATGTCAGGGGTAAGTGGTAGCAGAGGTAGAAGATGGAAAAGGGAACAAGAGAGTGATTAATTTGAAACTTTTATTAGATGTGAATACAAATGGTGTACGACAGCTTGAATGTTATAACAGATGCTCGAAGTCTGCACCAGATGCCAAACATGCCTGACACCGACGGACCATTAATTGCCAGACATGTTCAAACACACCAGGTGGTGTTGGTGTATTTAATTGTGGCAAAGCACACTAGGGCTATCTGCCTAAGGGGACAGATGCCTTCGTGGAGGACTTTCTAATGGAAACTGGCTCATATACATGTTACACATAGGGAAAACCACGAAAACACCCATGCAGCCAGCCCGTTCGTGGGATTCGAACCTTGGACCGAACTACCAGTGTTCAGCGACTTTACCGCTCGGCCGCTGGTGGGCCTCAAACACACTAGGAGTTTCTTTGATTGTAGCAGCTGGGCAGGTGAACTGTCACAAGATCCATTTCAGATACAAGAGGATCAAGATACATGACACTTTTGATGGCTCCCCACAAGCAGCAATAAGCAATCGCCCGACCAAACTCGCCCACACATTAACTTTGAAGCGTTGTTGTGCTGCATGGTGCCACACACCATGGGGGAAAAATGATATCATGAATAAAATTAAAAATGATTATATGAATTTAAAATATAAAATGTCAATCAATATTCATTGGGTAAAGGCCCATATTGGTATCATTGGGAATGAAAGGGTGGATTTCCTGGCAAAGGAGGCTGCCCTGGGGATCTCTGATGGTGATCTACAACATTCTAAAAAAGTTACAATTAGCAAAATGAAAGATCACATGTATAAAACATGGTCTGATCAATGGAATGTGTCTCCTAGAAGATCAGAGGCCTTATCAAATATAATAATTAAGAAGAATATGCCTATATTTTGCAATAAAGACTATAACCAATTAGTAACAGGGCATAAACGCTTTCCTATGTACTTACAGAGATTCCACCTATGGGGGTTAATTTAATTAATTTATGTCTTAAATGTGATACTGCCGGTGACTGCATTCATTTTATTGAAAGTTGTACACTCACCGGGGGGTAAGAGCCTTACATGGAATCGGAAATGTAAGAGAAATGATTCAAAATTATAAAAAAGGAGTAAAATTTGCACAAGACATTATGAAAGTCATCAATTCTCATAAACATGTGATTGGTATCTCTGATTGATCGAGCTAACATACTGAAAGCGTTCAATTTATGGAAACTACCCGTAAAGGGAGAGAAAGACTTTGTATGCAAAGGTGTAGGGACAGCTTAAATGTTTTTTCGTTTTTATGTGCCGTGTTATTCTTTTTAGTTTACTAACCTAATTTTTTTTTGTTGTTGTTTTTGTTTTTGTTAAGCTGCTAAATTGATTTTGTTTTTATTTGGACACGGCCGGCTCATGCCGTTTGTTGTTGGAAGGGTTGTGCCCGCTTTTCCTCATAAAGTTCAACAAACCAGGCGGAAGGGCTGCGCCCGTATAAAACAAAACAAAACAAAACACCGTAGGGGATTTTCTTGAGCCCACAAATGCTAATTGTGGTGATTGAATATGCCATCCCTATTGAATATAGCCTCATTCTTGAACAACACATAAGCTGGGAAATTAATATCACAGGCATTTTCTTGCAGAAACCGCTATGTGAAATGCACACATTCAGGATGGTCATTGGGGAGCACTAACTGAACCCTTTGGAGACAAAAGGCATGGAAGGACTCAGCATTCAAGACACGCTGGACACTGGTACGAAACATTCTTAATTTGAGACGCAATGGCAAGTATGCTAGTCCTTGGATTACTCTCCACCGTATCCAACACACTTTCTTCCCTAATGACCGAGTGAATTGATCATGGCCTGCCACTTCTTAATGACTCCTAGTGACAAATTTTGATGCAGACATGCAAATAAACTGTGAGGTGGTTGATATCTGTTTCGGAAGTGATCTTGATAAATGTGTGCAGCAACTCGTCCATTACCCTCAGCTATTCCATACATTAAGTACATGTCTGCAAGCTCTCCGTACGTACAGCATTCCAATCTCTTCATACGGTACCAACTACTCAAATGTTGGTATGGTCGAATGACATTTCTGGGCATGGGTTCCTATGCAATTCTTAATCCTTATGATGTGCTCTACTCCCCAGAAGTTCGTCACAACATTTACGGGATACCCTGTATAAAGAGAATTAACTGACTTGAAACATCATCCATAATATAATAAAATCAACTTCATGTTTTTAATAGTTCTCCCCTCTCTCTTGGCTTGCTTGTTTATGTATGGTATAGGGTCACGTGTAAAGGAATCTGTCTAATAATAAATAAAGCATTCTATAACTTGATTTTTCTCTCGATATTATTACACATATAAATAAGAAGAAAAAAGTTTACCTAATAAAATTTATTTGTCGCAAATTCAAATATAATGGATTATAGAGAAAATTACATTCACAGCAAAAGATTAAAATGAAGTAATTTTTCTGTTAAAAAAGTAAATATGCCCTTTTAATGTAAAAAATTTCAAATATTAGATTTTGATTTCCAGCGCTTCAACGTGATTGCTCATTTCTATAAATTAAATTCAATTTCTGTACAATTTTTTAAAATAATATTTCTGAATTAATATGCTTGTAATTCAGGTAAAACACAACTCTGCTAAAGTATTTATGCGATGTGGATATCAGATGTGAACAACAGCTTTCATTTGCATTTTTTCTATTAAAACTTTTCTAAGGAAAGGTGCCTATAATTCTTCTTTTCATTAAATATACAAGATGTTCAGGGAATGACTGAAAAATTTAAGTAATATTAATATTTTCTGGTAATTCTAACAATAATATTCTTTATTCCAAACATTGTTTAAATTCATTATTTATCTTATCAAACTGTGTTTTTTATTGACACAAAATGTCATTGCAAGCTTAAAACAGAATATTTAATACCAGCGTGATGCAAATCAGTTCATTATTAGTGTATATTTTAGCCCAAATGTGTGATAGCCTAGTGCACAAGACCATCTATCAGAAATTCTAAAGACAAGCTCTTTTTAAATATTTTTAATATAAAGGAACATTAGTCCAAATGCTCTCGAAACACATGTGCCTGCCTGCAAATGAAAAATAATGCCTATTTAGGCTAATATAAAATCTGAAAGCTTTCAGATTTTTTTCTTTCTTAAGTTAGAATATGTCGAATTTTGAACAATTAATGAAAAATTATGTACAAAATAAAATATGCAATGAGGTAAAAATAAAGAGATCATTTATATAAGAGATGCAGATATATTGTTACTCTACATACAGTGTACATTTTAAAATTAAATTGAAAACAATAATAATAATAATAGATAAAATAAGAAATGAAAAAACAATAATAATAGCTAAAACAAGAATAAGATTACTCATGATTAAATATAAGAAGCACATTTCAAATGAGAAAAGCTAGCTTTGATACATAGTTACGAGTGAGGTTGGAACTCGCGGCCTTTCCCTTTGTAATCCAGCGCCACTCAGCTGTGATAGTTTTTATGAAAAATAATTGAACAAGAAGTCACTGCAAAGGTAATTTAATTAATATTAAATAAATGAGTGCCATATGGCCCAAGTTATAGCTGTCCTCGAAAATTTCACAGCTGTATTTTATTGATTACTCTTTCACAATTAATTGCTTACTTTTAGAAGTACTGTTAAAGTGATTTGTTGGGGTATTTAATATTGGGATACATACAGAGCTTGTTACACATGAAATAGCGAACATTTGTAATAATTAAGGAGAATTTTGTAAGGCAGAAAAATTTGATTTCGCAGAAACTGTAATTTATTTAGTTTCCTATTACTTATGGTATTACATACAGGAAGCATATGGATATACTGGTCATATCATTGCCTCATAATATACAGTTTTTCCCATGTACTAAGAATTTAAATTTATATCAATAAATATGATTTGAAAGAACTGAGCATGCTGTAAACAATGCTAATGATTTTATTCCTGTGAACAGTTACAATCTTTTTAAACAAAAACTCATCACCATGTTGTTCTGACACCACATTGAAAAGTGTAAAGTTTTTTTCCAATTATGACATGCGATAAGACCTCAGTCAGCTACTGGCTGTTCATTCATGTTGCGAACGGAAAAGCTGAACACGAGCAAATTCAAGTTTACGACCTCTGTGTCTTGTATATTTAGACTGGAGGGGGGGGGGAAACCAGCAGCAAATACGAGGCAAGCGTATTCACATACACAGGCCTTCATACTCTGACTTCATCATGACTAATTAGTTACTTAAAAGAATTTTTTTATCAAATGTGATACAATAAAGCACTGCTTATAGAAGACAACTCAACAGTAAATTGGGTTAAATTCTGAAAGCGAATAATAATATTAAAAGAAAACATCTGAAATTTCTTGAAAGAGAATTACAATAATACTTTCTACAGCTTACAGAAAAAGCTACACTGTTAAAAGATCCATTCTCTGTTGTTTAAATGCATTCTAAATGAAATACAAGATGGAAGATTTCTTGTAGAAGATTTCATAATAAAGTTACTGTTTTAGTGTGCCATGTTATATTCGTAAATCAACATGCTTTCCTTCTGAGTTTTACGATATTCTTCACCATATTTCTGCAAGACTGGATTTTCAATGCTTCTTCATATCAAAAGTATGAAGTAGCCTGGATGTTGATAATGTCCTCAAGCATCTTCACAGAAATGTTCACCTGTAAATTTTGAAGCTGGTTAATTGGAAACAAGTCAGATACCACATAACTTTAGAATAATACTTTTTTTTTTGAGAGAAAGTAGACCAATTTATAAAGCTCTTTCTTCAGTTTGTTGAAAAAAAGGGGCCTTGTTACGAATATGATATGGAATACAAATTACACAGCTATTATTAAAGGGCCTTGGAACTCAAGAAAGTTACCAAAATACTATGATGCAATACACTAATTTAAATTGTTAGTTACTAGAGCATATAATATGATATATTTAACATTATAACACCAGACCCAGATTTACACTGGCATATTTTTCTTAACACTGTTTCAAGTACAAGCTCATAACAAAGAAAATCAGGAAAAACCACAAATATTGGATAAACAAAGCATTGAAAAGATCACTACCACCTTCCATATAGTCTAGATAATTTTGTTTGTGCACTTAGCTGAAGCATGATCTATAGATGAATTAAAATTTCTTACAACTTAATACATATTGCCTTTCCCCACAGACTGTTTCCTTCAGTTTAACTAGCAATGTAAAATTTGATGATTACACTGTAATATCCTAGCTAAACTAGAATTCCTTGTAAGATAGTTACTGAAGAACTATGTAGCAACTGTTCGCTGAATTTTGTAAGTAACAAATCTAAAGGGTTAAATTACCCTTTATTGCAACTCAAAATGAATTAACAGTTGGCCTCTCTCAGGCATACAATAAGCCTCCACTTGGGATTTAACTCAAAACCGAAAATATAAAACTAATCTAATGCTAAATAAAATTAACCACCTAAAGCTGCACAGAATCAAGTTGGATTGGAGTTGGCCCTTAATTAAAGATTATCGGCATGTGCTAACAGGCATGAAGAAGTACGGCCATAGAATAGTAAGCTTAGGGAAACAAAGGAGTGAAATTAGAATTTATAGGAAAGGGCTGTTCCAAAGTAAAAATAACTGTTAGAAAATTAAAGTATAACCCTACAACACCATTTCATCTTTAGGAAGCTAAGAGTAAAAATGAAGACAGCACTCTTTTAAAATATACTTTCTAGAAAATGAAATCCACATACCATGCTCCTGTTGCAATTAGAAGAGAATTGGTGTTCTTTAATGATGCAAGAATAGGTTCACCTAACAGAAAGCTTGCAAACATTGCACCGCCATGTATTGATAACATACAAGACACCCAACAAGCCAATGGATGCTTTCGAGAAAATAGATGGGCACCTAGAAAAGAGTAAAATGTATAGTTGTAAATGTAATTTATCAAAAACAAAACAATAAAACTCCATTTTCAAACATATATTATCCATGTAGCATATAGGTTATCTCTAACCTATTACAATATACTTAAAATGAAACAATGAAGAAGAGATAAAGATGAAATGCCGCTTTTAAAAGTATCGCACTTTCCTTTCATTTTAGTTTTGATATTAGAAAATTACGGCTAGAGCCCACCACTCAGGGAATGATATATATATTAAAAAAATTTAACTTAACCTTTTATTCCGTTTAGCATTTTAATCACAAATTTTTATAGAAAAAACATTCAAAATTCTGAAACAAAGTCTCAAAACAAATGTAATAGAAGAGTTTTACATAACATATGTTGAAGTGTCTAATTTTTTGGGTGCGAGATTCGGCAAGATATATTAAAAAAAAAAAAAAAAAAGAATATTTTACATTTTATGCTGATTACATTAACTGCAAAATTTTAAAATTTACTTTTTAAGTGTATAAAAATGAATGCCATGGGAAAATGATTTTCTAAATACCAATCAGATTAGCTTCATTATTCTATAATCATTTACATACTGCCACACAGAACTAATTGTCTTCCTCAGTTTTTCAACCAAAATTTCCTGGACTATACTCTTGATGAATTCTTGGACTGTACAAAGTGTAGGTCATTTGTCATACAGCATAATCTGGATAAATTTATAATGTCCCAATAACTGAATCATTACTTCTAAATGATTCCTAAGATCCATTTATTGCTTTGGTGGATTTTGTATATAATACTCTCGCATGGCGTCTGTTAAGTATTCTGGCCATAATGCAATATCGTTTATAAAACTCTTAGTTTCATCATTACTTTGAGATGATTTTAAATTTATATTTTCTCCTTTTGTTTCATCTTCATAAATGGAATTGCTTGGTTTTTTCCTGCTGGTCTTTTTGCAGAATAGTTTCAGACGCAAATGATGTTCCTGGAGTTTGAGCAGGTGAATTTGTGAAAATGATGACGATTGTTATAATTGTTCTCCATCTACAGTTAAAAATTTGTCCAACAATCTTTCCATTTGTTTTGCCACTTTATCTCGATCTACTTTTCGTTTTCTTTTTCACTTCCACTTAAATGTTAATAGTAACTCATTTTAAAGACCACGTACCTATGAAGTATTTGCAATCAAGTCTAGGTATTTAAGTCTTAATTGCACAATTTTCAATCACAACTCACATAAGATGCAGTTCAGGAGACACTGATTTTAAATAGCTATGTTTGACTAGGCATGTGCCTAGGTTGCCTAGGCCTTAGTCCGCCTCTGCATCTGATTAATTTTGCAGCATTCAGTATATTCTCTGCATTACAGTTAACTTCAACTCCAGAGAAGAAACAACATTTCTGCATGCAAATCTTATGTGAACATGATGCATACTTGCCAACCTTTGACACTCAAAAATCAGGAGATTTTTCTCAATGTTAAAAAGACTTTTTAAATGATAAAAATATAGTTTTTAATAATGAATTATCTTTAAATAGTAACTAATTCTTAAATGCAAGCAACACAAAAATACCTTACAGATAAAAAACATTTTTATTACTTGCATCGTTTAAGAAAATAAAAAATAAAAATAAAAAAAAAAAAAAAAAAAGAAAAAAAGACACTTTAATCAGTTTTCGTACAAATGTTATAAACAGTGGCAGATTTTGCTTTCTTTAAGAAACTTCCTAGCTTTGTTCATAGCAATTGCCATGTAGGCCTGCTTTGACTAATAAAAGTTTTTCTAATGTGTCATCGTTAATATTAGATCTAAATTTAGTCCTCGTTTTTGCAACAACACTGAAAATCCTCTCACACTCCGCATTACTATGGGGAACTGTCAAGATGGCCAATATAATTCTAGACAGTTCACTATATTTTAAAATTCCATCAGCACCTTTCAGTTTTCCAATTAAACTCCACTGGGTATCAATCCTAGCTGATTTTATAAATTCATTCAAGTTTTCTAATTGTAAACTGCTGTTATGCAGCTTTTGGAACTGTTTCAATTTTTCCTTCCTTTTAGAACTCCTTTCAAGATAATAATAAATATCAACAAGGTGTTCATCCACATTTATTGGTAAAGAAGCTACCCCTTTTTCAGCTGCTAAATTTAAGAGGTGACAGGTGCATCTCATAATCTGCAAATCTGAATTTTTCTTTCTTAAGATGCCTGCAAGCCTACCAATACTGGTGCATTATCAAGTTTTAATAATTAGCTGTGCTATATTAAAGCCTGTCAAATGTCCTTCTAAAGTGGGAACAGAAAATAAACTGCACTCAATTTCTGAAGACTCTAGATTAAAAAAAGAAGCAACAATTGGATACAGTTTTGAATCAGTATTATTGCTTCCATCCGTAGAGAGGCAGAACGGAGTTGTTTTAATGCAATCAATAACTCAAGATTTATTTTTCAAACCCATTTCTTTAACAATTGCACCTGTTTTGGTTTTTACACTTGAGTATTTCTTAGCGATTTCCCGATCGGGAAATATTTTTCTAAATAAAGCTGCAGTGTGATCCGATGCATTCAGTGGCAGGTAGTGCTCAAATAAAAAGGCAGAGAACAGACATTCTGCATTAATAACTTTTTGGTCCTTTGTTTTCAAAGAAAAATTTAATTTTCCATTTTTTTTTCCTCCAAAACAGCTCATGTTGTCCTTGTGTACGCACATGTTTGAGAACATCCACCCTTCCACCATGCAAAATCGAAAAATCGTAACGACAGGCAGTACACATCTCAAATTTATTACATTTCCTTGAGGAAATAATAGAAGGAAAGTCAACTGTGTACGATTTTTGAAACGTATACGAGTATTTCACCTTTCTCGCAGACATAACAAAAGATTATAATTTCTAAAACTATATCTCAAAGGCATGTGTACTCACACAACTCAGAACAAAATGAACGAAATAACTAAAGAACATCCAAATAAAAGCTTGCTTTGTCCTCATTGGCTAATATATGCCAGATGACACACAGTGAAGCTCGATACCCATTGGAGAACTGGTGAACGATGTTTCTGGATACGTATATTCTCTCACTCACAAAGCAGAAGTTATCTAATTTGCAAGGTTTTGTTTTAAATATAATCTAGAGAAAATTCAATTGCTTTCAGACGTCCAAAATCTTTTATTATTATTATTATTATTATTTTGTTTTTGTTTATGTAAGAAAGTATTAAGCCAAGTTCCATAAAAATCATGAGAAATTTTAAGAATAAGAAAAGTCGGGAGAAATATATCGTAAATCGGGTTGGCAGGAGAGCGGTCGAAAATCGGGAGAGTTGGTAACTCTGATGATGGATGAATGAAAACTTCCTAAGTTCGGTCAATTTCTTCTGAGTAATTAAAGATGTATGGTTGTGCACTGTCATGATGGAACATAACTCCCTTTCTGTTGGCTAATTCTCATCGCTCTTTCTGGATTGCTTGGACAATTCCTTTCCAATCCCACCAAACATTCAACATAACCTTGTTTGGTGGCAACCCAATCTTTGAAGTCGCTTGTGGAGAGCCACCCAGCCTTTGACCATGATCTCTTGCGTTTGATATTCTTGTATTTCACCCATTTTTTATCGTCTGTAATGGTGGCTGGTCCTTCATTCACTTACAGCATTCTAACCGTTTTGCAGCATTTTTACCTTTTTTATAGTAAAAAAAGCATCACATAGCATATTTCTTCAAATATTTCACTCATTTCCAAATCAATATAACTTTTTACACGGGCAATGAATTAAACTATCTTCACAAACAATGGAAGATGAATGTCACCTTTTAAGCACATGTTTGTTTGAGAAAATCGGGCGAGTGTTGCCAGATATATTGGCATCAACACTATCTAGTGGCAAAAAACCGTGGAAACTTTTTACATGACCCAATACATATAATTAAATTTATAAGACAATTTCAGAATAGAAACCATTTGTATAATAGTTAAAAAAGTTCACCTAATTTTTATTTTACATAAAAATAAAAATTATACATAAATGAATTTACTAAACCAGTACCTTAATTTTGTAAGTTACATGCTGGTCATTGTAAGTTACATATCTGGTCAACAAGAATCAAATCCCACAGATAAGTAATCCTCTATATACTATTTTACCTGTTTGAAGCCTGTAGTTAAAGAAGCTTTGTATTATGAAAGTAAAAAATAGTTCCAATGTCATTATTTTTCTGTACATTCAAAATAATCAGCAGTTAAAAAAAATTAAAGAAAAACTTTTAAAATATATTTTAATTAGAAATCATAGTCCTAAATTCATACTAGATTAGCCCAGTGGTTCATAAAGTAAGTGTTAAGATTAATAATAATATGAAAGAATATTATTAAACCATAATAAAGAAACTGTGAGATAAGAAAAGCATGGTAAAAATATAGTTACGGGTGCCCCTTGGCGAAAATTGGCAGTATATGGACACCAAGTTTGTGCAATTTGACTTGTTACCTTGGCTTTGTATCTTCGCCGCTACACAAAGACAAAATAAGAAGTCAAAGAATTGCACAAACTCGGTATCCATGTACACATCAACCTATTTTCACTTAAAAAAATTCGGAGAATTGCCCAAACTTGGCATTGTCCACTCCCTTGATTATGTCTATGTCCATATCGATCTACTTTCACTTAAAAAGTCAAGGAGCAGCCAGTTCTATACTAGAGCCAAACAAAAAATATATAATCTCAATAAACTACATTTTAAATCAAGCAATGAAATAATATAAAAAAAGGAAAGTCATCTTAGCAGTACACAAAGGAAATATCCACTTATCTTATTTAGAAATTTCTGTCTCTTCAGTCAAACAAAATTTCCTTAACAGCATCCAAAAACTTCCTAAAATTATCTGAACTAGAATCTGTATACTGGAGTCACCACATAAATTCACAAAAATAAGAGCCAAAAATATCCTCTGTAGTGCCGGTATCCTCCGAAGTTCAACCATATAATGGCTACTAACTAAACCTTTCATTTACACACCAGTCAATTAATGCTTTTTCCCCTTTCATTCCAAATCGTACAGAAATTCAAATTTATCTTACCACGTTCAGCCATTTTACCGTGTAAACCACAAAATAACCAACATACTTCCAAACACAAGCCCTTACAAATCTTTTCCCATCATTCAAATTCACCACAATCACGTAACCAATTACGTCATAATACAGTTTCCATAACATTCAACGGTACTTTTCCGTTTCAGCACTGCAAATCTCGCCAAGCAGACTATATTGGCGAAAACACACAGTTTACTCATAAAAAATGTTGACAAATGTTAGTTCTAAGAATTTTTTATTTTGAAGGTATAAACATTTTAATGTCGTTTAAAATTTTGTAAAAAAGCCAATAAATTTGTAAAAAGACATTAATTTAAGAATTTATTATGCTTTCATGGTTCAACAAGCTGATTCTCTGGTTCATATCACGTGACCCCAAAGTGATCTCATGTCACCTAAACTATGCTACAAAAATCTAATTCTCTCAGTAATTATCTACATTAATTTCAGGTTAAATCTTAATTTGGAATACAAGTTTAAATGCAAGAATTATTTCAATTCGTACGAATAGCTTACTCAGAAATTAAAACCGCAGTGCTTTACTTCGTTAGTGCATTCTTATTATAATGGATGAATTTAACCCTCGACTTTGCCTTTTCTATATTTTCGCCGTTGGGTGAGCGGTGTGATTGCATACTAAGTGACTTAATTACTGCCCACGAATGGCCTTGGGCCATAAAATTGAACTATCTTGTAAAAATTCTGTGTAACTGTATGCCAGTATTGAAAGAAACAATCAATCTGATAAAAAATGGCTGCGACTTGTTTTGAAAATGTAAAAGTACAAGGTTACCAGGGAGGATATTTCATTTGGCATCGGTTGTACCATTACTGGCAACTTTATCGCTTATGCCGACAAAACGGAAAAGTACCCATTCAACTACTCAGGTTACCATACCATAAATGACACAACAACTTAGCGATAATTCAAGGGGCACCCTTAAACATACTCTAACTGAAAAGCATTAATGAGTTATCACATCATCATAAATTGACCAACTCCCTATCATATCTTATAAAAACTTATTTATTTAGCTTCACCTCCAAATATCTGAACTAGTCACCAGGTTACAAATGCCTGTAATAATTTATTTGCAATAAAAGCAAGTTCACAGATCATAATACACAGCAAAACTTGTTCCATGGATTATCCAGCTTCAACTAATCCCACAATCTTTTGAAGTCTATGAAATGAATAGTCTATTACTAAAAAAACAGGCCAACAGGCCATATAATTTACTCATATTTTCTTCATCTTTGTAGCATAAGCTTGTCAAGCTCAGTAACAAACATAAATTGAGGTAAATAAAAGTATGTTATCATATATTTAAATGTTTAATTGAACCCGGCTTGCTTTTAATTGTTAGTAAAAAACAATATATATTTTACACTTATTCTATAATCTTCTCTATGTCAAGTGAACTATAATGCACAAAGACTGTACATAAAAAGAATGACGTTATTGTTATCAAATATAATAATAAGAAGAAAAGTAGAACAATACAGCAACTACGAAAATGAATGCTTCCAACACAACACAAAACGCAAAGACTGTACATAAAAAGATAAATTACTAGTAACCAGCAAGTGATACAACAGCTGAAAATTTAAACTCAATAAATGAATTTGTAAAGAAAAGTGAACTTATAACATAAATGACAAGTTTTTCTCTTGTGCAAAGAGTAAAACTGTATGTATAAGGTACATGGCTACCTTTTCTAAAAATGAGAGGCAATATATTTCCATTTTCTGGATAAGGTAGTCCTTGTGACCTTGAGGAACACCAGCTGAGCAATTGATCTTCTCAGAATTTCCAAGGAAAAGCTCAACAATTATGAATTAGTGCTCTCTGACGAGGAGAGGCATTGCTATAAATTAACAGAAATGAACCCACTTTAAAACAAACATCACTAATCTGTAATTTCATATTGTTATGGTTAAGTTACCATAGTTAAGAAGTGATCGTTTTTATACCAACTCATCACATAAATTGTCCTAATGACAAATATTGATACCAATAACGTTCAGTTGACATGTCATCATAAACAATATCCCAGTATATAAAATCATGATTATCAGAAAAGAACCTATCAGTCCAATCTCAGTTCTAGTAATACAATGCCAATATTTTCTGAAAGTGCAAAGGATCTGATACAGTTAAATGTATTCATATAAACAGGTGTCTTATATGCAGATCATTACTAACTAACCTTTCACACTATTCAGCAAGACACAGTTTATTTTATATGCCATTAATAGCTAACTTGCTGAATTCCTCGAAAGTGCTTGTTAGTACAGCAAAATAATAGCTCAGGTCACAATATAACAAATCACAGATTGTTTGCATTTTCAAAGATTTTTACTTTGTGCAAATTGTTTTTAAAAAAAATGGAAGGAATTGACTCAAGGTGTTTGAAAACGGGCTACAGGCTTTATTTTCTGAAATACTCAGGAAATAAAACATTTTCTACACCTTTGTAAGTTAAATATGAAAAATTCTATACCTTTACATGTAAAATTCTTTAAGCTTCCACTTTAAACCACAATCCAGCACATATCATTCTACTGGAATAACATATTTTCTAATATTGTTCTTGAACTTCAGGAAGCAATTACAAAACAAATATAATTTGTTTTGCCAATTAATAAAACTGTGTTGTCCAAAAGAGTATGAACACAGTAAACAGTCTCAAATTTCAAATGCTTACAATTCTTTGAATTTTGCAAGTAGTACATAACTTTCTGCATTAGTGCATAATGAATATGTACCTTATTTCGAGAAAATTTGTATATAAAAGCAACTAGAATGAATACTTATGGAAATCAAGTGTATAGTCTTTATAACAAGTCTTTTTTTTAAACTCTCTGTCTAACCACTTTGGCTCCTTTAATTATGCTATGACGTTTTACTTCAATTCCCCCCCTTTGTTTAATTTTCAAAAACTGGGAGATATAGCTAGTTAATTTAAATATTAGAGATCATTTCTAAGAAAAAAATCGGTATTAATAATAAAAATATAACAACTCCAAAGATAAGGAAATGGCACACATTACAACATTCTAAAGTGATTAAATGCAGCCAACATAAGAGTTATTTAACAATATTCAGTTCTGTTTTGATCAGTGAGAAATTGGATAAAAATTTATCTTATCCCCATTGCAGATATGGATAAAGAAGAAATTATGTTAATTAATATTTTCCAGGATGATAAAGTACTTTTATTAGCATAAAATCAATAGCATTAAAAAAAAAGCTTTATAATTTTAAAAATCAGATCTGAAACAAGTTTATAAACATGAAATTTCTCAGCTGCAATTTAATTTTTCTATACTGCAGATAACTAAAAATAGCTCTAGGAATTTCTTCTTTGATATTTACAAGTATAGTAACAAACTATGAGCACAATAACATAATTCTGAGCATTTTTCCTCTGAAGGTGAACAGGAAGAAAAAAGTAAATGCTATTTTATCATGCTATCAGCAACAAGATATTTTAAGAGCAAATTTTTAAAATTATAGATAACAAAGCCATTTTATCAGCAACAAGATTTTTGAAAAACAAATTTTAAAATTTACAGGTAACAAATAGTTTATTCATTATTATGGATTTGCTTTTAATTTCATTATAACAGCTAGTCACCACAAGCAATAATAAACGTCAAAACAAATTCATAGATGCTTATTCTATGAAAAGATCTCAAATACCAACTATTTAATATTATTTGAAATATGACTATCAGTATACATTTATCCAAGTATGTGAATTATTTTGTTTAATTTTTCACACTAACAGCCTATTTTTTTTTACACTAATAGCCTTTAATTTTGCACTCAGTGGGAAATACTTCAAATCAGCTTAATTAGGAGTAAGGAAAAATAGAAAACACTAACATCTAATCTATACCAGTGATTTGAAAGATACTCAGTAAACAATCAATAAATCAAGTCCTTCACTGTCTTTCAGACTGCATACTTAAATTAAAAAACTATAAGAAAAAAACTGAAAATGTGTAAGAAATGTTAAAAATATTAAGAGCAAAAGATAAAAACTTCTTTGTGTTAGGAAACAGCATTAGTGGACAATGATTTTCTATTAAAACTCTCAACTCATTATTTAAAACAAATATGATTATTTACTTATTGATATTTAAAATTAAAATACTACTAACTTTTTTAGTGTAACTGAATGTTTATAAAACACAAATGCTATTATGGTATGTATTCACAACAATAAAAAGATTCTAATCAACTTAACCAATGATGTTAATGTACCACACTTAGGTGAACACGAAACATTTTTATAAATAGCACTTCCTCAAACCTCTTAAGTTTTCAAAGCGAAAAATTAACACTTTAAAAAATGTAATATTCCACTACCTTACAATTATGTTGGCAACACAATTACAATTCTAAACTTTTAGAATATAAACTGCTTAACGCCTGGTGCCACATATAACTAGAAAACAGCAAAAAACCTATGGTATGTCACACTGTGGGATAAATACAAGATACAAATAAACAGAATGAAACGATACAAGAAAATACTTCGAATACCAATTCCTTTACTCAAAATTTGGTAACTGCGGTAACATTTCATTTACTCAAAGGGGCAAAACATGAGTACGATGCAATACAGAAAAGAGAAATTGCAAATCATTCGTGTTGATCAGATTTTAGATTAGAGTACCGAATTTTTATTCAATGCAATCAAACCTTTTATTATATCATAATACTTACCGGCTTGCAAATCTTCTTTAACGTACATACACATTATTATACAATGAGCAAGTTCAAAGTAGGGAAACATGTTTAATTTTGACACTTGATTTGCAATTTCTAAAAATGCTTCAGGATCCATGATGACTTTTTATTTTTGTTTTGATTACACAAATGCTGATTTTCAAATATCACAGGCTAATCTAAATTCAGAGGGATGAAAAAGAAGAGGGAGATCACTCTTCAACAACGGACAAAGACCAACACATATCTGCGACTGCGCAAATGATGCCAAAGATCACAACACAGAATGCGGTTACCAGATTTTTGCAGCTAAAAAGTACGCTTAAAAACTTGGGCTTTTTCAGGTAAAGTCTTTTTATAAATTGCATTGTGTTAAAAATATGTGTATTTAATCTATAAAGGGTGTAGAAATTTTAAGAGGAAATAGATAATTTAGTGGGAAATTAAAATAACTCTCCCCTTCCAATATAGTTCATGTCTGTTGCTACACGACTGCAATTAAATGCGGGCTCTTGATACAAAATAATGCATGAATTTCAACAGCATGGCTAAAAAGATATATGCGAGTTTCTTAGATTCAGAGAAAAACTAAAGCACTAGGAGTTCATGAAATATCACTTTGTTCATACCTAAACGATTAACATTAAAAAAATGTGCGTGAGAAAGAGGGAGAACCTAATAAAATTAAAAAAAAAAAAAAAAGAATTAATTAAAGCAGAATAAAGAAAAGCATGTATTGATAAACGGACGTCACCATGTCAGCTTTATTACATAAAGCTGATGGTAATGTTCGTTTATCAATATATGCTTGTTAATAATAAAGGCAAACACATTTCAAATGAAGCCTAACTATATGTATAGACTAACGCTATAACTAAATCGCAGCAATAAGCATGTTAATTGCAGAAATATTAGAAATGAACTGCAAAATATATCCACTTGCTCTGTTCTTAATATGAAATTATTTTTCATAGTAAGTGATCTTCCTTTGTTAGGCCTAAAGCTGAGTGAAAGTACAATATAGCTTTTGCTCAGGGCTTAATTTCTAAGATTAGAAATGCCGGAGACCTATGGAAGACCTTCAGCAGAGAGGAACAAGAGTAAATAAATAAATAAAATGACTATTAAACTCCTTAATAATTTTAAAATTAAATAGTTAATTATTATCAAATTAATTAATATATATTTAATTAATGTTTTAAATTGTTATTTAATAAATAATTATTATATAATTAATTAATTATAATTTAATTGATAATTATTAGATAATTAATTATTATTTATTGAAATAATTAAAGATTGAAGTAATTAACTGATTAAAATTAAATAAAATGTAAAGAGATAAATTGAAATTTAATACGCGATTTTTAATATAATTTTATTGTTAAAATAAAATTTTCGAGATAAAATTTCTACTGAAATTGTTATTTAACTACATAAAAGAAGTACCGCAGCCTTCTTATTCAGGGCTCCGGTGCGTTCCGGCTAGAATTATAATTTATTACAAAAACTAAGAAGCATCAGAACCGAAATCCGGTGGGTTCCGGCCCAATTTAAGTTCTGATCGTAGGGGGGGAGTCCTTTTATCATCACAAAAATTAAATATACTTAAAGTATAGCTGATGAAAATTCCAGGGCGAAACAGAATGAGGGTATGAGTGGGTGGAAACAAAAAATAAGGGGAATCTTGGTGAGAGAGAATGTTCTTTTTGACCGCGGCTCTATGTTGATATAATTATAGCCATCAAGCAGATGGGTGTCAGGAGTAAATGAGTCTTGAATCGGACTCCTAAATGTAAAGTTGCTGGTTACGCTTCCCCCCATTAGTGGATACTGTGGGAAGACGATGTATAAGACGTGCTTGAGCAGTTTATCTCAATATTTACCTTTTATTATACTCGCTGTCACTTAACGCACATTTAAGAACACAAGTTTTCCTTCCTGCGAGGATAACTAACTGTAAGCATCGATAACAATACACTAGATACAATGGCATGGCGAGAAATTTAGGCGTTCCTAAACAACTCCCCCAAATTTATTGCTTTTCCGCATGGGTTGTGGGGAACGGTTTCCGCATGCGAGTGAGGGGACTTTACTTGAACGTCTCAAATTCTCATGAGTTCGTATTTCTAGGGAAATAGAGTATTGCATGGTTTGCTTATTGTAAACCCTTATCACACACGATATTTGTTTCCGGAACAAAACGTTTGGTGGAACAGTTCTGAGAAACTCTCTTTGCGAAATAAGGTTACCATCTTCATTTGGTAAACAGGCTGAAAGCCAAACAAGAATCAGTTATCGCCCAGATTGGCTAAAGTGACGTTTCCTTTCAAGTGACGTTTGCTTCTTCGTGTTGTTTTGTATCGCTCACACTCTTTTCGTTTTAAACTTTATTTTTAGCAATGGAAGATAATAGAATAGTGATTGCTATCAAGTTAATCACTTTGATCTCCACTCTGGCACTTCAAGTAACACATAAACACACTTCTGGTTATAGCAATCAATTACATCAGTAATAGCCAAATTCTGTATACACTAAGAATAATTTAAAACGTGTGCTGGATAAGTCTATTTATCAGACATTACTTCTGTGTATTTTTCTGTTGTCTGCATTCCAACGAAAATTTGATGGCTCACTAGAAAATTTGTGACCTGGTGAAAGCATTTTCTTGACTAACAGAGTGAGGGTATGAGTGGGTGGAAACGAAAAATGAAGGGAATCTTGGTGAGAGAGAATGTTCTTTTTGACCGCGGCTCAATGTTGTTATAATTATAGCCATCAAGCAAATGGGTGTCAGGGGTAAATGAGTCTGGAATCGGACTCCTAAATGTAAAGTTGCTGGTTACGCTTTTCCCCTCATAATTACTGTTCCGCTCATAATTACTGTTCTGTCCATTCAAACGAACAGATAAGACTTTCTATGACCAAAAATCTATATGGCTGATATTTATATCCTCACAGCCATCAGATACTATTCAGCAAAATGAAGATCAAATAAAGCATATGAATACATGAGTAATCAAACATGTGCGAGTTGTTTACTGTCCCATAGAACACTCGGTAATATACCTAAAACACAATTATACCAACTCTAAAAATTAGGTGGTGCACATCATGAGTTCGTTTTATGTGATAACGGCAAAGCCTCGAGGGATATCTGCCTAACAGGAGGGATCCCTTTTGTAGAAGATTTTTTAAAACTGGGTTGTATACCAGTTACAAATGGGGAAAACCAAGAAAATGCCCATGTAGCCAGCCCGTTCGCGGCATTCTAACCTGAGACAGAACTACCAGTGTTCAACGACGCTTCGGCCACTAGTAGGCCCGTGCACTTAATTGGAAAGTACAATTCATTATGTAACAGACATGAAGGTGATAATCAGTTATGCACTGTTTTAAGTAATCAAATGTTATAAATGCACAGCTGTTACATAAACATGACTAATAAATAATAAGAAATGTATTTCTTATTATTTATTAGTCATGTTTATATTACGTAGATCATACATATGATATAATTATAAATTAACCCAATAACAAAATGTATACACTCTTTAGTACTCAAATGCTCATCAATTATTTTTCAACTGATTATTACATATCCATAATAATTTGCAAAGAACTGTTGACTACAGTTGCTGTCAATTACATGATCGTTATATGAATTCAAAGTAACTTCAAATAAACTTTTTGGCAATGTTCATTTTTGTATTCATACATATATATATATACACATCTAATAAGTCATATATTTACATACAGATAGAGAGATGCAATGGCTTAGAAGTTGTTAATATATATCTATTAGTATTAATGTAAAGAATAAGATTTATATTAATGAATGTATATACAAATGTTTTTCATCATGCATAATAATAAATCCATAAATTTCCAATGTTTCAATATGTAGCATTTACAATAAAAGTATAGTTTCTAATGTATTTATAATCCAAAAAGTATTTCATGAATAACACGAAAATAATAGACAGATTTAACGAGTATTCTCATTATTACAGAAGCTATGCTTTTCTTTTTTTATGCATCTTTTATGCTGTTTAAAATGTATCACTGATTATGCAATTAACAATTTAAAAGATAAGTAATTAGGAGAAAAGCCGCGCATATACAAATTGATTTTAAAAAAATATTCAACTTAAATTTAAGAAATAAAATTCTATTATATAACAGTGGTAATACACGATCAGCACGAAATACGAAAAATTTGGCGAACTTTTGGCGACGAACAATTTGTAAACAAATCCGAACTGCAAGAACGTCGTAAAATACTGTCAACTCTGAAATTTCCACGATTATATATTTAATGACTATATAAACATTTTAAAAATGACTCAGGCAGTTATATTACAACAAAACAGCAATTATTAAATCGGCCTGTATTTCCACCGTCCATGACTTCACAGTGAGAGCCATCGCCATATTGAAAGTTACCCGTGATTCTTCACAAGCAGAACTTTCGTCTGATTAGGTGAACGTTCGAAGAACACGTCTCCAGCCGGAACATTTTCGGACAAGTTTTAAGATGTTGCTCGTAGCTGGGACATGTTCCTCCTAGCTAGACGAAACATTTCTCGGAAGCCTCCCGCTTAAAGCAGTGCTACTAGAATCTCTTTTCTCGGAATTGTGCCGCATAGCCGCGCGCGTCCCTAGAAGTGATAGCCTCTTTAGGAATTCTATATTTTGTTCCCTTTAAATTGTGATTCAGTTTTATAAAAAGAAGTACTGGAGCTCATCTTATTTAGGGCTCCGGTTAAAATTGTAATTTATCTTAAAAATGGAGGAGCACCGGAGCCGGGCTCCGGGGGGGGGCTCTGGCGCAATAAAGCAAAAGTTTTGCTTGAACAACAGTCAATATCTACGCAAAAGCTTTTAACAGGGTATGGAATCGAGGCCATATTTACAAACTAATCACTCTCAATTTTCTAGATCATTTTATTCGCTTAATAGCCTCTTTTCTCAGCAACAGAACATTCAGAATCAAAATCGGTACTGCTTACTCTACCACCAGAGTAATCAATGCTGGTGTCCCACAGGGGTCGGCACTTTCGCCGTACCTTTTTAATATTTATACACAAGACATCCCTAAAGACCCTTCTGTTCATCTTGCACTCTTTGCCGATGACACCGCCATACTTACTAAAGCCTGCACAGTTATCGCCGTAAGAAACCAACTCCAAAGCTATCTCTTAAAACGGTAAAAATGGCTTACCCTTTGGAGGATTAAAATTAACACTGA